AAAAAAAAAAAAAAAAAAAAAAAAGCAGCAGAGACTGACAGTCTCAAAGCTTGACACAAGCTGACAGACTCAGGGTTTGTCCGTCCTGCTAAACTCATGAAGGCCACCAAGCCCGAAAGATGAACCTGCTGAAGCAGCAACAGCCCATAACTCTGTGTCTTGAATGTAATCTGTAAAAGCAGCATAATCTATAAAAGAGAGCCTGCAGCTCTCTACCCTGTGCTAAGTTCTGCTTCTGTAAAATTCTGCTTGCTTCCCCGCCCTGCCTGAAGAGCAAGATAGAAATGAAAACAAACTTAGAAGTAGGGATTCAGCTCTGGAAGGTGACTTCCACCGAGCCCACTGATCCCACTAGCGAATAAACCTGCCCTTCCTTGCAATTCTCTGGGTGTTGCTCTCTTGCCCTCCGAGAGCTGTGAAACTCTAGGCTCGGAGAAGCACCCATATGTGTGGTTTTTTTCTTTTTTTTTTAGTACTGGGAATCCAACTCTGGACCTTGTGCTTGCTAGGCAGGCAGCGGCACCACTGAGCTAAATACTGGGCTCCTGGCATTCTTTTTTTTCTCTTTCAGGGCTGGTGTCTTAGTCACTTTTCTCATTGCTGAGACAAAGTAGCCCCCAGCCCCGCACACAGGTTAAAGGAGAAACGGTGTATTTCAGCTCACAGTTTGAAGAGGTTTAGTTCCTAATGGCTGGCTTCCAAGGCAGGGCACCAGTCCTCGGTGAGCAGGGAGGAGACAGTGACTTAGCAAAGAGGAACAGCAGCAGCATGCCTGCCTTCTTCCGTCCCTTTATATTTCATCCAGCCGACAAACCTATTGATCCGTCCCACCCACACCGAGGGTGGGACACTCTTACTCCTAGCATTACAGCCTTCACCCCAGCATTACTCTCACTCCATATTCACACACCCTGATCCAGCCACTGAAACTCCCCACCTGTGACCTCATGAGGCTTTGGGGGAACATTAGATATAAGCCACAACAGCTAGGGACTGAACCCAGCGCCTTCAGACTGAGCCACATCCCCGCCCTTCTATAACTTTTTGAGACGGGATCTCGTTCCCTACACTGCTAACTTGCCCAATGTGGCTTGAACCTGTGATCTTCCTGCCTTGGCCTCCTAGAGAGCTGCCTCCCACACACTGCCCCTGAATTACTTTTCTTGCGTTTATTTACACAACCAGCAATGTTCCTTCTTGCTTTCTGTGCGTATCTCCCTCCGTTCTGTGTGCCCTGGAAGCCTCAGTGTGCAGCCATACACCTTTACGTCCTGGCAGCTCAGCACTGTGGACGGAGGCACCCAGAGCTCACACGAGTGGCGCACTGCAGCAGGCAGTTGCTCCCGTTTATCCACCCGCTCCCCCTTCCTCTCGCAGCGGCAAAGCTTCATCCATGACCTCTCTTTTTCCACCAGCCCTTGGCTCCTTGGCTCCAGCCCTGCTCCTGTCTTTGTGCCAGGCTTGGTCCCCTCTTCATTCTAGTTCTTTCCTCTCTCACCTTTTCTGCTTCTTCCCTTCTACGCTACACCCTCCCCAATCTTTCCAGATGCTTCTCTCCCACTCTTCTCCCTAGGGGCACTCGGGGTAGTGGCAGCCCTCTGGGGCCCAGGTCCCTGCAATCACCATCACAATGGGGCTTGATGACTGTACAGCGTTTCCACCTCAGTCCACAGGATTTCAGATTTGTAGCTGTTAGATTCCTACCACCCCGCTGTCCAGAGAGGCACCTTCACAGCCCTGTGGGGGAGTGGGTCACCTGCTGACAGCTTTTCTGAGACTTGTAAACACGAGAGCCCAGGGTCACTCCTTAGTTCTCTGTGCCCCTTTCACAGTGAGGACACCGAGCAGCCTGCACCTGACGGGGCACCTGACAGGTTGTAAGCTGAGCTTCTGCCCCTCGCGGAGCCTCAGGGCCGCACCCATTTAGTCCCTCATCGAAGAAGTGTGGAGCTCCCATGAACACCTTTGTTAGGACACAGGATATGGACACCAGGTCACATGGCAGGGTGCCAACACTAAAGCCCCAAGAAACTCACAGCCTAATTAAATTGGGAAAGACTTAATAAATGCAGAAGGCTTTCACAGAGGTAATTACATACCTGGGGCCGTGGGCACAGAGAGGAAGCTCCTGAGCGTCCCAGGGTAGAAGGAAGGTTTGACAGCAGTGATCCAGGAGACATGCAAGCTGATAAGGCAGACAAGAGGACAGTCAAGTGGACATTTGTCCTGCTTTTGATCACCCAGACTCTGAGCAGCCTTGCGAGTTGAGGGAATTCCATAGCCCCGGAGTCCTGTGGACCACATAGTCCACCTCCCACTGCACATGCACACTGGGAGGTAGGGGGTTCGTCTTTTGCTCCCCTCCTGCAATGAGCATGGGTCTCGCGACCAGAGTTCAGCTAGTCTGATGCCCCCTTTGGGGTCTTGGGGGCTCAGAACTTGAGAGAGTGACAGAAGAGGCACGGACAGTAGGCATTCACTCCCAGAGTGGCACCTGGCCCAGGGTCCCAGAGCAGCAGCCAGTGTCTGATCTATGGGAGGTGCAGGAGGTAGGGGGCAGGCCCAGCATCAGGACCTGAGCAGGATGTTTCCTGCACCCAGCCTCCCTTATTCCTGACTGGGAGCTGCTGCCCACCAACTCTTCACTTTGAGCAGAAAGCAGCCTTCTAGACGGGTCCACCCAGCCTGCTGTGCCAGCCTCTCCGCCCCACATCAGACATTGGCCCCTGGGCTGGTCCTTGGGCACCTACTGGTCAATCCCAAGGACTGGGCTGCTGGGCTGATCAGTAGAAAGTGCCTGTGCATGCGAAGAAAGGTGGCTTCTGCCCTTAGCTCTGGGCCACATGTGCCCAGAGGGCCTGCTGAACGAAAAGACTCAGCGGCAGAATCTTCCTGCCAGCACAGCCTCAGAGGTCGCTGGGCAGAAGCTCCTACTCAAAGCAGGAGTCGCTTATTGGAGCCCTGCCAGTCGGGCACCACCTCTGCTTGAATTCACTGCTCCACAGACCAGCTGTGTCATAGTGACCTTGAGCTACTCAGTGACTCTGCCTGGAGTGGAGCTTTCGGCTCTCCCTTGCTGCCCTCTTCCTGCTCCCCAGCAATCCTCTCTGGGGCGGCCCGCCTTCTCAGTGTCTCTGTGCCCAAGCCGCAGGGGTTGGCAGAGGTGTGTGTGTGGCCCCGGCCTCCCAGCGGAAGAGTGGATGGAGCAGGATGGATGTGGCCCTGCTGGAATCCTTCTCTCCTTTCTCATTTTCTCGCCTGCCTTTGGCTGGGCTGGGAGATTGGAGCTGCGGCATGCGGGGGTGGCTGGAACGGTGCGTGTGCCCGTGTGTGTGCGCGTACAGCCGCGTGGGAGGGCGTCGCGCTGTAGCCTCCACGGCCAAGACCGAGCAGCCTCCCTTTGCCAGAGAGCTCGGGCTCTGACGCATCGCTCCCCCCGCCCCGCTTAGGCCTTACAAACTTTCCTGGTGTTGACAGGAACAAATCAGAAGACGCAGATAGGCTCAGTGGTTTCCTTGGCAACCTCAAAACAGGGCGGGGGAGGGGAGGGTGGGAACCCGAGAGAGGGAGGGGCTGGATTCCACCACTCGGCCGGTTTTGCACACCCCTCCCCCCAGCCCTCAGAATAGCTCAGGATAAAACGTCGAGCCAGTCCCAGGCCCACTGGATGGAGGAGGAACCAGGGCCCTGAAGGGACCGAGGAATCCCTGGATGAGGAGGGAAGGGAAGACCGGGACCAGAACCCTGCTCTCCCTTCTCACGAGGGCGATGAATCCCCCTCCATCATGGGCCTCCCTTATTCCCCGATCCCTCTCCCACCCCACGGAACTCGCTCAAGGCAAACCAGAAGCCCAGCTCTGGGCTTCTCAGGCTGAGGAGCAGGCCTGGCAGGGAAGCAGGAGTGCGACAGTCTCCCTTCCCCCACCGCCACCCTTGGGATGGCTCCATTCCTAGAAAGCAGGAGACTGAACCCAGTCGGAGGCGGAAGACAGACTGTTCATTAAGAACAAAAGACGTTTATTAGTAATTAGTGAAGCCGCTTCCCCCAAGCACGGTCCCCTCCCCAGTCCCTGCGCTCCCAGCACCTGCCCTTGGGCTGCTGCCAGGGTTCCAGCGGCACCGCACCCGCGCATGACGTGCTGGGCAGGCAGCTCAGGGCCCTTTCCCAAAGCACAGGCCAGACAGCCTCCTTTTCTCCCCAATTACTGGCGGAATTAAGGAACCCACGGAGTTGCAGGGTTAAAAGAGGGGCAACAAGGTTGTTGGTGAGGAACAGGAGCCCCTTGTGAAGGCAACAGGAGGAGATGCTGAAGAGGGAGCCCCTTTACTGGTACAGGGTGAGGGTGATGGCCGAGTCCCGGAACCAGGAAGTGACGGGCCTTGACCGTGGGGTGGTATTAACTCCGTCCAGGCCCTTCTTCAAAGCTCCCTGCCCCAGCTCTCTCCAGGGAGGGAAAGGTCGTCCCCCCCACACCTCCTAAGCACCTTAGGGTTGGCCCCTCGGGCGTCCCTTGTCACTGTCCTGCCTGAGACCCGTGTTTCATTTTCATCTTTGTCCACCGCCCTGGCTCCTGTTTGCCCTTCATCACAGCCACTCACCTCAGTGCCTTAAACACGACCTTCTAGGCTGCCCTCCACCTGCGGATGGAGCGTCACCAAAGATGCGTGTGTCACAGATGAGTGTTCTCAGCTCGTGTGACTGGCTGTGTACGCTGAATCTCACTCCTTCTTTATTCACTCGATGGCAGTTGTGTAAGATCTATTTGTGTTGGGCTGGGGATGTAGCTCAGTGGCGCTGTGCCTGCCTTGCAAGTGCAAGGTCCTGAGTTCGATCTCGGGTACTGAAAAGCAAAAACAAAAACAAACCAATGAAACCAAACACACACACACAAAACCCAAACCAAACAACAACAACAACAAAAATCAAACTAGCAAATCCCTCAAGGAGAAGGTAGAACAACAATGAAAAGATCTGTCTGTGTTGTCATGAGGCCTTTGGATAGCATGCGCCTCGGCCACTAGCTGTTCCCAGCCTGCTTCCTGCTCCCAGAGGAATGAGGGGCTTCTCATACACACCCGGGGCCTGTGGACTGCTGCTCTGGACAGCATTCAGGCCACGGAGTGTGGGGATGCATGCCCAGGCCTCTCAGCTTCCCCGAGGCTTCCAGGGTCCACATCGAGCCTTAAACTCTGCCTTCTAGTTGCTGGTTATGTCTTCCCTTGCCCTTGTTTTGTCCCTCCTGCTCCATCCTACGTGAAACGTGAGGCTGTGTTGTACTCCTCACACCTGTACTCTTCTCAGGCCCTAGTGTACATTTTATCCATAGTTGGTGTTCCATAAATTCTTTTTTAATAGCCGGAACTGACACCCCCTTTTCCACTGGAATGCAGATTTCCTGACAGCAAGATTAGCTGTGTCCTATGCATCTCGGCTGAGCTCTCACTCTGACACTGTGACCGACGTGTCCGCAGTGTCACCATAGGCTTTCTAAGACACGTTTCGTGGCCTTTTCTGACATGAGAAAATAGTGCCCTTAAGAGTAAACTGAGCGGGCATGGTGGGCACGCCTGCAATCCGAGCACTTGCGAGGCTGAGGCAGGATCATGAGTTTAAGGCCAGCTTGTCCTACACAGCAAGACCTGGTTTCCAAAACCAAAAGCAAAACAAAGAGCAAACTGGATTGAACATCGGGTGGTCTGAGTGCTGTGTGACTGGTTTGGTGACCTTAAGTTTCTCCTCCTAACCTTGGTTGCCCTTTATGTACAATGGGAAGGTTTGGCGGCTTCTTGGTAGGAGTCTGAACTTGAGAAGACGAAGAGCGAATGTTCAGGCATTTGGGAGCCTGCTGGGTCAGCCTGCTTCTCCAGGAGGAGAAGGGGAAGATGAGGCTGGGTCCCATCTAAGTGAGGCTGTGTTCTTTCTTTTTTTGGTCTCTCCCTTATCTCCTCCATTACCTATTACAGTTTGTTTTATCTATTTCCAGAATGTTCATCATTGAAGACATAGAGTCCCACAGTAGGGAGTAGGGCTTTTTGAGGGAAGATCTAGAATATCAGTCAAGAGAGTCGCGGCACATGCCTGTAATTCCAACACTCTGGGAGGCTGAGGCATGAGGGTTGTAAGTTTGAACCCAGCCTGCACAACTTAGTGAGACTCTGTCTGAAAATGGGAGGACTCCAGGATATTCCTCAGTGTTGCCGGAGAGCGGGAGACAGAAGGAAGAATGGCCAAAGGCAGCTTACAGGACTGAAGTAGTAACCAGGAAATGACTGGAATTCAAGGACACACTGTTCATGCACAGCCAGGTTGGAGGGCAGAAGTAGGGCAGGACTGTGACCCCCCCCCCTTGTCACCTTGTAAACATAGGCATCGGGACTGACCAGGGATTCTACCATTGCCTACCTAATGATACCTGTTCAAGGAGGGTGAAGGTGCTAGAGGAGGAGATATGTGGACATGTGTACTCATTACCCCGAGGGAATCAGATGGGGTACCAGGATCATGGGCAGGACTGGCTGGGCTCACAGTCGGAATGCAGGAAAGTCACTACTGGGAGATGCCTGGGAAGGAGAACCTGGCCTGGCAGCAAAGGCCAGCGGCTCTGGAGAGCCAGAAAGGGTGAGGGGAAGAGTATAGAAGTGATGGGGTCTGTGCTAAGCTGTTTGGCTCAGCACCAAGTGTCTTAGTTATTTTTCTGTCATTGCTGCAACAAAATACTTGACACCTAAAGTTAAAGGGGGAAAGGTTTATTTAGGTCACCGTGTGTAGATGTTTTAGTTCATACCTGGCTGGATCTAAGGCAGGGTGGCTTGGCTGAGGGGCATCAGAGAGGAGAAATAGTTCATGGTGGGCAGAAGACGGCAAAGCAAGCAAACGAGAAGGCGAAACCTCTTTCTTTCCTTTAAATTGTGTTGTTATTGGTACTGGGGATCAAACTTGGGAACTTGAGCTTGTGAAGCAGGGAGCAGAACCACTGAGCTAAATCCCCAGCCCTCTGTCCTTTAAACTGTATACAGGCTACTGGGATTAGGGCAGTGCCAAATAAATTAGTGGACTGATTTAGTAATCACACCCCCTTAATCCCAACATCACACACTCTAGATTCAGCCACCTCTGAAAAAGCCACCTCTGACTGCATGAGGCTTTGTGGGAACATCTAGATAGAACCATATCAACAAGAGATGCTGGAAGCTCAGTGCTGAGGGGCTGGTTAGGATGACAGGTGATCAAGATTGAAGACAGGCCTGCTCAGGGCTCCAGGAGCCCCAGGAGGAAGTCACCAGCCAAAAGGTGAAGGCTGGAACCGGCTGACCTTCACTTCTGCTGCATTCTCCTGGCTAAAACACTCACAGGCCAGCCCAAATTTCCAGGGAGTTGCAATCGGTTCCTCTTCTCGATGGAGCAGTGGTCAAAGAACTTTTGCTTGTCTTTATTCTCCCAAGCAGGCTGCTATAAAATCCTCCTGCTCAGAGGATGCCCTCCCCTCTTCCCTCTCACCAGCTGCTGGCCTGCAGCCTCCACATTCCTCTGTCATGGCCATAAGCCCTCCTCTGGTCCCTGCTGCTGAGCTTCTGGTCCAAGCATGGTCACTCCCCTTCCAGAATCCACAGCCAGTTCTCCTGCCCCTGCCCTGACAGGGCCATTTGGACCTTTCTCTAGCATGAACTTCACCTTGGAAAAGCTTCTCCCTGTCCCTGTAATAGAACCAGCTCATTTCTATTCTCTCTCTCTCTCTGTATGTGGTGGGGATGGAACCCAGGGCTTCAGATTCTGGGCAAATGCTCTCCCGCTGCACTGCATCCCAGCCCTCAGAACCAGCTCTCTCCTTGCACTTTCCAATGGCAGCTGCTGCCTATCCGATGAAGAGGGCTCAGCTTCCTCTGTGCCCCATCACGACTTCCAGACCATTCTCAAAACAGGCTTATTTAAAGTTGGATGATCTCATTAAAGTCTCTCAATTCAAGTGGAAGCCGAGAAGAGATAGTTAATCAGCCAGGAATATGTATTGATCCGAATGCCCAGTCCAGTGGAAAGCCACGCACAAGGATGCACTGTGAGACTGCTCCAGATTGGAGCCTGAAAGCCCTCCAAAGGCCGGGTAGTGAAAGTCTGATGCCCCAGGCTGGGACGCTATTAGGGGTGGTGGAACCTTCAGGAAGCAGGGCTTAATGGAAGGAAGTCATGTCATTGGGGGCTTGGCTTTGAAGGAGGCAGGCAGTTTTCCATACCATGTGCTCCCACCACAATGTCCTGCCTCACCGCAGGCCTAAAAGTGACCTCTAAAATCTCGGGCCAAAATAAATGTTTTCTCCCTAGTAGTTGTTTATCTCAAGTGCTGTGTCACAGTGACACAAAGCTGATTATCACGGTGTCCATCAGGTAAGAAAAGGGCACTAGACTGCACCAGCCAGCGAGCTCCTGCGGCACAGATGAAGTCTCATCTGTGTGTCTGTAGGGCTCAGTAAAATGATACTCAACAAATGTTAAATGCAGGAGTGAATGAATGAATGGCCCCATGTTTATCACGGATATAAAATTACTTTCAGAGAGCCGACCTCTGCTGGCTTAGATGAACTATAGTTCGCATGAGTCACGCAGACGCCTCCAGAGGGCTTTTGGGATCAAGCATTAAAACTCTTCTTTAAAAATGTTTGCCATCTGGCTGCTTGCTGCTGCTGGCTTTTCTCATCCCAGAGGATGATGCTCCTGACTCAGGAGTCGGTGTGCGTGACCTCAGCGGTGACTCAATCCCAGTCCACACTGCACACCCTCTGCTCACGATCTGGGTAATTCAATCTCCCGAGAAGCTTTCTTTTCAGGGCTCTTGACCAAACAATTCTTGACCTCAACCAGCTGTTGCTCTGCTCCAACCTTGTTCTCCAGATTATTTTTAGACTCTACGCTGTCAAACCAGGTGCCCCCTCCTGGTTTGTCTTGGATGGGCATCACCCCGCCCACATGCCCCAGTCCAGCTACGACCCTGCCCTCTTCGTTCACCTTGGCCAGATCCCCTTCGTCCCTTCAAGTCACAGGCTCAGATCTTCCTCGACTTCTGGTTACTCGAGTCGGGCTTCACCTTCTGTTTGATGTAAGTTTTCAGAAAGAGGGCTGGGGATTTGGCTCAGTGGTTCCGCCACCTGCTGGGTGAGCACAAAGGGTTAGGGTTCGATCCCAAAAAATAAATACATAAAATAAAGAGGGCACCGTGCCTCACTCACTTCCTGTCATGCCCTTTCATCCCAGCTCCTTACACAGGAAAGGGACCTGAGTCATTGCTTCCTTGAAGCCTTCCATCTTGGAAGGAACCCTCCCTCTTCTCCATCATCCAACAGGGGCTGTGAATAATGGGACCTTGCTCTCACCTCCGCAGAGTCAGGCAAGGCAGCAGACGAGGCTGGCTGATTGGAATACTCCATCCCCTGGCATCAGAGGTGGCCGAAGAACCAGTCAGGCTCTGCCTTGAGAGTCGCTGCACCTCCGGGCAGAGAAAGGCCTCAGTTCCTCTGAGCACGAAGTAACTTGGACTGGTTTGGGCTCATCTCTCTGGGTCATACGGAGGAGGCTCTCTGCACTTGGAGACAAGGAGTCCTACCTCAAGGGAAGCAGAGACAGAAATGGGCATGGTGGTGCACGCCGGTGATCCCAGCTTTTCGGAAGCTGCGGCGGGAGGACTGCAGGTTTGAGGCCAGTCTGGGCAATTAACCAAGACCTCCATTTCAAAACTCAATTTTGAAAAGGGGAGGCTGGGAGTGGAGCTCAGGCTTCCCTGGGTTGACTCCCCAGTTGTCTTAGTTACTTTTCTCTCATTGCTGAGGCAAAATACTCGGTGCCCAAAGTTAATAGGGAAGAGGTTTATTTAGCTCACAATTTGCAGCAGTTCCGGTCCATCATCGGCTGGTTCCAGGGCAGGGTGGCACATGGCAGAGGGGCATCGCAGAGGAGAAGCAGTCCACGTCCCCCACGAGGTAGCAAAAGCAACACAGGAACCTCGACAGCATCTTTCTGCCCCTTTTAACTTATCTAGACCACCTGGGTTAGAGTAGCGCCAAACCAATCAGTGGACTGGTTTAGTAATCACACACCCTTAATCCCAGCACCACACGAGCTAGATTCAGCCACCTCTGAAAAAGCCACCTCTGACCACGTGAGGCTTTGAGGGGATAGCTAGACACAGCCATAGTAACACTAGGGATAAAAATGGAGAGATCAAGCAGAGGCATTATATGCTAGCTGTTTCACAGATAAGCAGAATACTGGAAAATGAATCAAGTCACCTAAAAATCATCCTTCTAAGTGGGGGGAAGAGCCAGGATTTGAACCCAGGCTGTGTGATTCCAAACTAGTCAAGTTCTGCTCCCATAGATATAGGAGTCAGGATGAACATAAAAGGAAGAGGGGTGGACTCACACATCCGTGAGCAGGTGTGAGAGTTGACAGCATCCTCGTGTTATAGGGGAAGTAAATGTAACTCCCAACCTGACAGAGGTCAGATACACCGAGCTTGTGTTCCCCCAAATCGAAGAATGAATTCTAAGGAACAACGGAGGTTAAGAGTAGGAAAACTTTATGGAGAGAGAGAGAGAGAGAGAGAGAGAGAGAGAGAGAGAGCACTCCTGAGGGACAGGAGGGGACCTGAAAGCGGGTTACCAATGAGCCCACTTCTCAAAGGAAGTTTGACAGAGCAAAATCACGAGGTGGGTACGACGTGGCTCAAAACCATGATCAACCAGTACGATTACAAGTCTAGCCGCTCGGGTAATACTGAGCCAACGCAGAAGTGGGTCACCGAGCGGGTGTGCACGGCAAGAACAAGGACCTTCTTGGAAGGGATGGACCGGGAGTGTTCAGCTCAGCCACCGGGTGACTGGCGTCTATCTGGGCTTTGCTGGGCCGGGTGATACCGGTTACCTTGTCCTCGGGGAGCCGCGAGGCCTGGTCACGCCGTCTTTATCTTGAGGCCTGGCCGTCAGGAGATGCACCTCTGGTCACGGTTGTGATGTGTTCCCACTGTCGGATGGCTAGAATATTTCTACCTGGCTTAGTTTCCTAGAACACTTGGATCTCCTGGATCAGCTGACTCACGGCTTCCATACCTTCCCTTTGGGAGCTTAAAATAGTCTGTGTACCCATCACTTGCGACCTCCTGGGTTGGCTATGGAAGAGACAGAGCTGGGTTATTTCTGGATTTGCATCTTGGCATTTCCCTTGACTTAGCACCTAAGCTTGGACAAATTGCTCAACCTCCCCAGCCCCTGGAGGTAAATGGCTTCTCTCCAAACCAGCAGACGCCCTGGGACTGGGAATGAGAAGAAATGGAAATGCACTTACCACATGCTAACACAATTGAAGTACTCAGGCATTGTTAGGGCTCGGGTTCCCCTTTCCCTGCATGGAGTAGCTGTTCAATAAGCACTTGCTGAATTGAATTAAACCCTCAAGAGGCTGCAGGATGCTGCTCACGTTTGAAAGCAGCTGAATGAAGCTCCCAGTCGCCAATAAGGGTGGCTTCTCAGCCTGCGGGGCGCCTCACTATTTGGCCCTAAAAGTGGGGGGGAGAGGTGGGGATTTGGCTCAGTGGCACCACGCCTGCCTCCCAAGTGCAAGGTCTTAGGTTCAATCCCCAGTACTGGGAAAACACACACACACACACACACACACACACACACACACACACACACACACACACACCAAAACAAAACAAAACTAAAAAAGGATTCTGCCCTTCTGTTTCCCCAGCAGAACCTCACTGGCTTCCAGATCTCTCCACTAGCACAAATGGTGTCTGTGGCAGGTATGGCCAAGGTGGTGGCCTGGATCCCTCTCCTCCTTTTCCTGCTCTTTCCCATCTCCACGCACATCCACCCACTCACCAGGTCCTACTGACTCCCCGGTAGGTTTCTCTGAGACTCATCCTCTCTTCCTCTCTTTCCCTGACCACAGTGCCCTAGCTCAGAGCCCCAGGCCCCTTGGCCTCCACCCAGAATGGCCAGAAACACCCACACTGGGGATTAAACCTCCCTTTCTTAAAACTGCCTCCTGGATAATGGGTGAGCTGTCAGCAGACACCCAAGGCTCTCCGAGGCTGCCAGCCGTTGCCTGGAAGGCTAAGCTACTTTCTGCCCTGTTAGCACAAGCTTCTGTGCCTGCTCAGGGGTTCCATTGCCTCCATGTCCTGGGCGCCTCCCTTCCTCCCTCCCTGACCTCTTACTCATCCTCTAAGATTCTGTGCATCTGAGTCTTTTTTCTGAAAATACTCACTGAGTTCCCACACCTACACTGGGGCCAAGGGCTCCTCCTGTGTCCCCCCAGCCTGGGGCACTGGTCTGTCTTTTCTACGTGGACGACCCTCGTACCCAGAAGTGGTGCCTGGCACCTGGCGGCCCCCACCTGCAGACATCAGGAAAGCTCTCCCGGAAGGGACCAGAGAAGAGACGGGAGACACTGCGTTTCTTTTTTGTTGTTGTTTTTCTCCAGATTCTCATTTAGCCCCTCGCTTGGTTTTCTTTCTAGATTGAGGCCAGTGCTTCTCTTAAAGGCAAATACAGCAGGCTCGGGCCTTGATGACTGGGGACAAAGGGGCCATTTTCTCACCTTGTAAAGTGGGAGAGGTCTCATTTCCTGGCTTTACAAGGTGAGAAAACTGCACCAGCGGTGGGGAAGGCGAAGAGACTTTTCTCCGGATCCCGTGTGGTTGTCGGATGGCTTTCGTCATCGTGTAATTCTCCGTACAGCTTTGCATGCATGATACATGAAGGGGTAACCTTTGGCTACCTCAAAATAGCCCCCATCTCACTGTTTAAAAGGATGAAGTTATTTCATTGCAACTATATATAGGCAGGGAGTCAGCACGGATGCATAACTTAGGCAAATACATGCAAATCCCTTGCAGACTGGGGGATCCCCATCCCTTCCGGAGTTACCGAGTCCGGGGCCGCTCCGCCTCCGCCCTGCCGCTGACCTGGAGCCTCCGGACCCTCCG